GTTGACAGACATGGACTGTCCAGTATTAGAGTTTGAATTTTATTTGAACTTTCAATCCTTATTTTTTGTCTTTTTTACATTAGTTCTTATTGTAAAGGAAGTAGTGCTTCCTTGTATTATGCTTTATTCTTCGTCATTTACTTTCATTTTAAGGAAAGTGGTACTTCCTCATTTACTGCTCTTATTATTTTCATGTAAATATGGTATTCCTATGCCACAAGTGATGGCATATTAATAAAATTTCGGAGGTACCACCCTTCTTTAACAAAAAAAAAAAAAGTAGAGAGTATATTGTATTTAATGAATTCCTTGAAAATGCTACTTACTTATATATTGGACATAAGATAAAACAAGATTTTGTTACAAGCACGATAACGTTACGAAGTTTTGGACAAAAAAGTATAAGAAATCTTCCATTTAATTCGTACGTTTCATAATTAGTAGTTGTGTAGTATGTCAAGATTTCTTGTTTGCTACAGTGCTAGCGAGTACATGTCCAAGATTCACAAATCCACAGTTTCATGCAAATTTCTCTCTATATAATGCACCTTCATTCATAAGATTATATAATACAGTCATAAATCTTTCTTAAATTTCAATCTTCATTTTCTCTCTCTAAAAATGGTTAGTCCTTGTCCAATTCTTGCACATTTCGTAAGTCGGTTAATATACATTGTCCACGAAAATATATTTTGAATTAAAACCACCGTAAGTGTAGAGTTTATTAACAAGTAATAAAGTGGATTTGAGTACAAGTATCGTCCCACATAAATTGATTTTGTTCAATTTTAAATATTGCAACCTTAACTGAAATATGAATAATATGGTGTATTTGTTTGTGATAAGATTATTACTAAAATAATCTACTTATGCAATTATGAGTAAATTAACTAAATTAAATGCAAATTAATGTGTGTAATAAATGACAAATGCGCTAGGATCCTGAATTCTCATGCAATAATCATTTTAAAGTTTAGTTCTACACTTTGACAATGCAATTGAATTTTGAAGAATCCATATTCCTATTTGATTTAACAATCTCTCCCGAATAATGTTAAATCTACTCTTATATATGATCCAACTATATTTCTATGACGGATGCCAACATACAAGAGTGTATGAATTTTTTATGAACACTTAAAGATTCATATAGAGCATATCAGTATATTTTTATCTCATATCGGACCATATGAGAATTTACACCACGTCGAATCTATTTTCCTTGTTTCGAATGCATAAAATAAGTCACAAAATTCATACAATCACCACAAGAATGTACGCCATCACCAATGGAAAATTTCATTGGTGAATCCCAGATTTTCGTTGGTAAATGGGT